CCAGCCTGCCAGGACCTTGGCTACGGCATTTCGCAGTGGGGATAACATCAACAGCTCTGCTGCGACTCAAACGGGTGGTGGTAAAGCAGCGTCAAACCACCCGGCTGTGCTGTGCCCCGAGGGGAGACGAGCCGGGACAGCCATGCCAACACCCAGCAAGAAGGGGAAGCTTTTGCATGGAGAGTTTCAGGATCTCCAAAAGGGATCAAACCCCAGCAAATTCCAGGAGAAGCTGGAATTTGCCCAGGAGGAGTCTTGAGCCGCAAACCTCCCAGGACCCCAGGCTCAGCACAGGGCACGGCACTCGCCCAAGGAAAAGAGCCGATGGGTCTTTTCAGAAAGCGTGTCCCGGCTGCTGCAGTGACAAGGGACGAGGAGCAGCAGAGCCCTTTCCCGCGGCAGCACCCGCAGCCCCGGGGCCTCCTGGAGCACAGCGTGCAGGGGACTGGGCATAGGGACAGCGTTGGAAAATGCAGATGGAGGAAGAAAGAGGTGAAAGAAAGGAGGAGAACCCTCGGGAACGTGGGAAGGTTGGGCAGAGAAGCATGGAGAGCCCCGTCCCACTCCGGGGGGGCCCTGACATGGCCTGGGCACCGTGCAGCAGAGAAGCGTGCGCTGGCCCCCTGCCTGCGCCCTGCCCAGCGCAGCCGGCTGCGGAGGATCCCGCTCACAGCAGTTTCCTCCTCTCGGTCATTCAAAAATAGACTCAAGAAAAAAACGCCTCAGTGTTTTTCCAAGTACGCTGCAAGCCAGGAAATCGCATTCAGCAAGACCTCCTCCAACACAAACGCCTCCTCCTCTGCGCTGCCGTCAGAGAGGTCTTTATAACCTTAAAAAGTCTCCCTGTGCGGCACGGGGGGGTTTGCCCAGGCCAGGCAGGAGAGGGAGCTTTCAGGAAGAAAACCAGAAACCCGTTGGCACACATCAGCTCCGTGCTCCCCAGGGAGCAGCCAAGCAAGAAACTAGGACTCGGTGCGAGCGCTGCAGCTCCTTTGACTGTGTGAGGGAGCGT